CTTTTTTTTTTTTTTTTTTTTTTTGGTGGCTGGCCTGTATGGAATTATAAACCTGTGACCTTGGTTTTATAAGGCTGCACTCTAACCCACTGAGCTAAGCAGCCAGCCCTTGTTCTGGCTTTTGAATTGTATTTATGTAGTAGATACTATTCATGCATGTAGTTAAAAAATTTTTTTTCTGAAGGTAGAAAAGGATATACAGTGGAAGATCCCCTAAGCCCCAGTTTTCTTCCCCAGAGACAATTTACAGTCCTGTTTATTTATAAGGGTAAATGTTGATCCTTTTTTCCTTACACACTAATTTTTTACACACCTCTACATCTTGATTTAGGCAAGTATATCAACCTATACTAAGATTATTCTATATTATGTATACATACTGCTGCCTTATTCTTTTTAAGAGCTACACAGTATTGCTTTGTATGGTTTTACCATAATTTATTTAACCAGCCCCATACGGATGGCCGTTCACCCTCCTTTGCTACTGTAAGTAATGCCATAATAAATATCCTGGCCCATACTTAGGTGTACACATGTTTAGTTCAAGTGCTATCTGTTGAATAAATTCCATGAAGTCAAATTGCTGATCACAGTGGGCAGTCCACTTTTTTTTAACTTTTCATTCTGAAAAAAATTCAAATATATAAGCAAATAGAAGAATTTGAAGTCCCATGTCCCCATTGCTCAGCTTCAACAGTCATCAATTCAGAGCTGAACTTGTGTCCTCTCCACTTCCCTGGTGCGGTTATTTTGAAGTAAGTCTTAAATATCATTATAAGTAGTTCAGTTTCTCTCTACAAGATGATGATTTAAAAACTAATACCACTGTCACACCTAATATCTAGTCGGTTTTCAAATTTCCTAGGTAGATTTATTTAAAATTTTTTTATAGTTCGAATGAGGATCCAAATAAGGTCCATACATAAAGTAAGGTTGATAGGTCTTTTATTTATTTATTTTTTTAAAAAGACCAGTAAGGGGATCTTAACCCTTGACTTGGAGTTGTCAGCACCACGCTCTCCCAAGTGAGCCACAGGCCGGTCCTTGATAGGTCTTTTATTTATTTATTTTTTTAAAAAGACCAGTAAGGGGATCTTAACCCTTGACTTGGAGTTGTCAGCACCACGCTCTCCCAAGTGAGCTAATCCTATGTAGGGATCCTAACCTGTGGTGTTGGTGTTATCAGCACCACACTCTCCCAAGTGAGCCACAGGCCGGTCCTTGATAGGTCTTTTAAACCTGGTTCTAAGTGTTTGATTCATTCTGGCTGTTGCACCCCCCTCTAAACGTTATGTTTTCTTTAAATCAATAGTTAAATCTGTAGATTTGATCAGATGCAGGTTCCATTTGGGAGTGGCAATATTTTATAAGTGGGGTTCTTCTGAAAGGGACCTTAGCCAGAAAAACAAGCATCTTTGGGGTAACTAAGACCAAGAGAATGTTTTAGTCAGCCCTTGGGAACTGATAATTATCAATTCCTTGAGGTTAGCAGAAGAATTAAGAGACTGCTGGGAGATGAAGTCACCGCCTCTTATGTTGATTGACTTCAGAGGAGGTATACCTGCAATTAAGGACTGAAACTAAGTTTCTTGTTTTTCTTACCTCTAATTAGCTGCAAACAAGAGGAGAGAGGCAAGACAACCTAGCTGGTTGTAAACTCCCCCTCTTACTTAAAGGAAAACTGCATCCACATTAATTAGAAATCCAAGTCAGGTATTTTTATGATGTTTGACTAAGGTTATTATCCTTGAACTCTCCCTAGGAGATAAGGACTGCAACCTCGAGGTAACATCAAGGACTTGAAGCTGAACACAGACTCTGATGCTGAAGTTTCCAATCCATCATGGAACCCCGACATTTGACTCAGACCATCTGCTGCTCCCAGATCACCCCCCTCCCCCTCCCTTTTTTTTTTCTTCAGAACAAAGACCTTTATCTCATCTTCCTACCTCTTCCCCTTTATAAGCCTCAGGACAGGCATCAGAAGGTGGTATGATTTTAGCCTGGTCATCCCCCAGATGCCGGTTATCTGAATAAACCTAATCCTTGCACCAGCTTCTGGACTTTCGAGTCATTTGTTTAATGTGAGAGGGCAAGCCAAGCCTTGTCTGGCGGTAACAAATTGGTCGAGCCAGCCAGGAATGCCCCCTTAGTGGTCAGGACTTTCTCCCGAATCCCAATGGCTGGAGCAATTGCCTGCGGAACCACGCCAGGCTAATCCAGTGATGTTTTTGGAGATTGTCCTGGGCTGTCAAGGGGGGCCTTGTTGCCCTTGGTAAGCAAGCCCTACAATGGAGATTTGGGGACTTTCCTAAATGGCCGCCAGGATCCTTTTAACCCTGAGGATTCTCCTGTTCTTCCCACCGTGTGCTGGCTGCCAGTTTTTGCCTGGTCTGTCAGTGACACTTCCATTAGGAGGCACGTACCATCTGGTTGTCTTTCAGTGTGTGTGAAGCCAGCAACTCTTGATCCCATTGGTACGCTAGGGATTGCAAAATGTCCAAACTCTATCATACCTACCATTCCTTCATTGTGTCATCCCTTCTTCATTTGCTAACTAGAACAGTTCTATACAGAGAGAGTTCCCTTCATCTGCTACTTGATTACTCTGAGTTGGTTTCCTAGCATCTTCTCAAAGGTGGCCACTGAGTTAGGACTGTTTTGTGTTGCTCTGTCTCAGTATCATTGTGAACTTGTGCGTTTCTGTGTATTTGAAATGCTTCAGTCCCTTGGAATTCATACTCTTGTTGGTGCTGACATTTCACCATCCTTAGCCAGTCAGTGCCTCTTCAGGTTGCTTCATGTTTCTGTTTTTTAACCCTTCTGTGGCCTTTTGACATGACCATAGTAGTCAGTTTCCTTTCTTTCTGCTCCAAGGACATGTTCTAGGTTTGAACTTTTCTTTGTTTCCCTGGAGAGCCAGGATTCCTCTTAGTGGGAAATGGCTTTAGTTTTGGGTATTGGGGGTGGGTGTTTATTATCATAGTTGTTTGTTTCTAGGCCTTTTTAATAAACAAAGTTAGGAAATATATATTTTTAAGAGACAATAAATCATTAGTTCATTCTTATATTTTCAATGAAAATTTAAGATTACACTTTTTTTGGAGCTGGCCTATATATGGGGATCTATACCCATGACCTTGGGGTTACAAAGCTGCACTCTAACCAACTGAGCTAACTGGCCAGCCTGTACACAGTTTTTACTTCTTTGATTTTATATTTATATCTCTTATAGTGAAAAATCTTAGTTCCCAGTAACATTAACATAATTATTTGCTTCATCTTATATTATATGTAATAGTTTCAGAAGAATAATATAAATATTAATGTGATAAATAAATGAAATATAATAAAAAAATAAAATCTAATTTTTGGGGGGAGTTCTTTGTGTCCTTATAGTGCTTTTTACCCTACTTGCACAAATTACTGTGTTTTAAAGTCGCCTGAAATAATTCTTCTCAATGGGATTATGCCAAAACAGTGAGGCTCATTTGTCTTATCTTCCTTCTTTTTTTTTTTTTTTTTTTAAAGATGACCGGTAAGGGGATCTTAACCCTTGACTTGGTGTTGTCAGCACCACACTCACCCAGTGAGCTAACCGGCCATCCCTATATGGGATCCGAACCCGTGGCCTTGGTGTTATCAGCACCGCACTCTCCCGAGTGAGCCACAGGCCGGCCCCCTTATCTTCCTTCTTTAAATTTACATTTAATTTTGCCTTAGTACTTCAGTGTGTAACATTTACATCTTTCCAAAGTCAAATATACAAAGCAAGGTATATTCAGAGAAATCTGGCTTCCCTCCCTGCCCTCTCTACCCTGTCAGCACCTCACCCTGTTTCTGTATACTGGGGGGGGCTTTAGTAGAAGTAGATAAGTGTTCTTAGACCCCTTTCTCCTGGAGAATGGAGGCATATCAGTTGCACTTGCTCCCCACCTTGCATGTTTCCTTAACAGTTTATCTTGAAGGCCATTCCACAGCTGTGTTTGTGTTCCTCTTGCCCTTTTCCAGCTCCATGTTCCTCCCAGGCGGGATGTTACACAGTTTATTCAGCCAGTTCCCTATCGGTGGACATCGAGGCAGTTTCTAAAAGCCTGTACCCTCTAGTAGTGCTGCAGTGAGGAACTCACACGAACGTCTTTTCCTGTCACTGTGTCTTTGAGATAGTAGGTAGGCCTCCTCCAAGGGTAATTGTACTTATATATGCATTTTTTTTTAATAGTTTGACATATTAACTTGGTCTCCTGCCTTCCAAAGGGATCATTGCCCGCCTCCCACCAACAGCGTTTGAGACTAGACTGGTTCATTTGAAATGCTCATTTGCAAGCGTCCAGCTCAGTGTCCCTGTGTGTTACAGATGTCCTTGCTTGACCTCTTGGGCCCCTGATTAGTACCGTGCTCACAGACCATAGACTCGGGGCCCAGGGGAGGGAAGGGAGGGAGGGCTGTACTGACTTAGAACAGAAACCAGGCCATTTTGACCCAAGTCTTCCTTGGTCTTACGTTTCTTCTGTGTTCTTCCAGATTGTTTCTTTGCATTCATGAGCATACATAGGTGTACTTGTGAGTGTGTACATGTCCGGATGTGTCACAGACTTGTCAATAAGTTCCTTTCCATTACAGGTCAGCACACTCAGTTCCTTTCTTCAGAGACATATTTATTAAGTGGCCAACATGTCCTCAGTGGACATTAGAGGTTCCAGAGCAGATTCTTTACCCTTTGGGGCCTCAGGGTTATTTCCGTGAGATTGAAACTAGAAATGCTTGGAAAACAACAAGGCCTCCCTAACAGGTGATCTGGGTGGGAGATGCAGGATGGAGAAGCCCATGAAAATGTATAGGGAAGAGAGGTGCAGAGAACCGTTGAAGTCTGCTGCCGCCGATTCAGAGCTCCATGTGAAGTAGTATTTGATGTGTTCCTGGGCTCACACATCCCTTTTCCATTCAGATCTACTTTGGGAAGCTCTGTTGCCTGCATGTAAATAGTCCCTAAGGTTAGACATAGGTAATCCAAGCAGGTTGTTATGGACATTTTGGACAGTACAGTGGCCTCCCTAACTTGCACCCCACCCTCTCCTGGTGTGTAGGGCCAGAGATTGGGTGTAATTAATCCTACTACTCCTTGACACAGAGATTGGTTTTGAGATAGGAAGCCCAGCCCAAGCCACCTTGCACATATTACCCTGGCCGGAGTGTTGTCAGGGATAGAAAGGCAACCCAGGTTGGTCCAATGAGAAGGAAGCCCAGGACCATTCTTTGATGGGTGGAGGTGGGGAGCAGAAGGCCTCTCCTCTGGGAGTTGTCGTATGCTAACGTGAAGCCTAGAACTACAACATTTTGCAACAAAGAGGCAAACTAGTCTGAGGACAAAAATCAACCCAAGGAAATAGGGCGGAGAGAACAGAAAAAGCCCAGAGCTTTGATCAGGCCATACCTGAAACCTCTCCTGCCACTGGACTAGTTCAGTTAGGTGGCAGGTAAGGTTTCTTCATTATTTCAGTCAGTTTGAATTGTTTTCTGTTACTTGCAACCAAAATGGGCATCCGGATTTTCTATCCATTTATTGCAGTGATAGAAACCAAAAAAGCAGCTTCTCAATAGAATGGCTTAAAGTTGCTACCAAATACCAACAGTTGTATCATTCAAGGACCTGGGGTTCTTCAGGAAAAGCCTTCACAAATCACCTTTTTGCTCCATCCCAGCCCACACCTGGTGACAAGCTAGGAACAGTTGTATGAGAGGATTTTTTTTTTTTTTTTAATGACCGGTAAGGGGATCTTAACCCTTGACTTGGTGTTGTCAGCACCACGCTCTCCCAAGTGAGCTAACCGGCCATCCCTATATAGGGATCTGAACCCGTGGCTTTGTTATCAGCACCACACTCTCCCAAGTGAGCCACAGGCCAGCCCTAGAGGATGGTTTTAATGTGCTCCTGACCCCACTACTTCCTTCTCCAGCAGCTGGAATTAACCAGCAGAGGAGTGAATTCCCTGAGTCCTTCCCCACATTGAGAGAAGGGCACTGAGCCCCTGTATGGGCAGTTGCTTTTGTAATCCCTCCTGGGGAGCAGTAATGGCCTACAGTTAGGGAGTGCAGAGAAGAAATGGTATTGCCAGCACCAGCTCAAGAAACTGGACCTCACTGGCCAGAGCCCAAGAAAAGACCCAGCAAGTGCTGGGTCAGGCACATGTTCTGTTTGGTGCAAAGCCCAGTGCCTGCCCTGATGTGGGTCCTCACAGCCCCTGCTGCTGTGTGCACCAGGCGCTACCCTGCATCTGCTCATTCTGTCTTCCCAAGCCCAAGAGGCACTCTGATCCCCATTTTACCGATGAATGAGGAAACTGAAGCACAGATTGTTTTTACTAAGGCCAAATGATCTGTTTTTAAAACAACAATAAATATGTTATAAAGAATAAGACCAAAACTACATAATAAATATGTAAATATGTTAGCTTGGCAGACAGTATGCTCATAATAAATACTTGTCAGGTGAATAAATGTTACATCTTATATTTTCCTGGGGTTTCTTCGTTCAAGGACTATTTATAGCGGCTACTCTGCAATAGGCCTTGGGAAGGCAGGGTTCCTGCGCTTCTGTAACTCGGTCTGGTGGGA